TTTCCCAGGACTCAAGTCGGCCTGCGGTTTCCCTGAAATCCCTTCTAAATGTTACTTTGCTCACACTCCAACAGCACGTCAAGTCATTCTAAAAAACCATTTGTCTCCATTCATCCTATCAACACGCTCACGCATGCCTGGCTGGAAGTCCATGCCCCTCGCACAACAAAAACCTCCTTTTGCCCCCTCCCTCCAACCCTTCCTATTATTATATATTTAATAATATATTATATATTTATATTATATATATATATATAATATTATATATATATATATTATATATATATATATATATATATATATATATAATATATTATATATATATATATAATTTATATATACAGGGACCCCGCATACAGTTGGCCTTGCATAAACGTTTAAACTCCAATACCCGATCATTTTATTGCTAAGATTTTGCCTCGCATACCGCTAAAAAAAACCCGCTCAACGTGTTCGTCCGAGACGGTTCTAATGGTGCGGCACTGAGCCAGCCTCCACATGTTCCACCAGTGTCATTGTTTACACCCAGCCTCCGCCGGTAACATCAAGCATACAATCGGAACATTTGTATAATTACAGTGTTTTTTATTTGGTGATTTATCTGCAAAATAAGTGACCATTGGACCCCAAGAAAGCTTCTAGTGCCAACCCTTCAGCAATAAGGGTGAGAATTACTATAGAGATGAAGAAATAGATCACTGGATAAGTATGAAGGTGGAGTGCGTGCTCCGAGCTGGCCAGGTTGTATAATAAACCCCAATCAACCATCGTACTATTGTGTGGCGGACAACAAACGGCAATCAAGGAAGCTGTTCTTGCCAAAGGTTCAACTGTGTTTTCGAAAACAGAGATCGCAATGTGCGATGAAGATGCTGAGAGAGACTCTTTTTGGTATGGTAATATGGAAAAAATAGATAGCAAGGAGATAGCATCTCTCAAGTGATCATAAGTGAAAAGGCTAGGAAGTTGCATGAGGATTTTTAATTAAAAATGACCTGCAACCTAAGTGATGGATGTGATGTGAATTTAAGGCCAGCAAAGGTTGGTTTGAGAGATTTTAAGAAGCGTAGTGGCATTACCATAGTGTGATAAGCATGGTGAGGCTGCCAGTTCGGACCAATTATTATTATAACAAGGTGGGAAGGAAAGCGCTAAACCCGGAGTATTATACAGCGCCTGGGTGGGGGGGGAGATGGTGGATGGAAGGCATTCAGGCTTAATTCGGGAACTGGAGCCACAGATCCCAATTCCATAAATCAAGGCCCCTCACCAACATCAGGAACCTCATTTGAGGGGGAGAGTTCGGACCACAAAGCAGCTGAAAAATATTGTGCCAGGAATTTTCAAGGAAGTACATAGAACTGTGAAGACTGAAACCTGAACAAGTGTTTTAATTGTGATGAAACAGGCCTGTTTTGAAGAATATGCCAAAGGCAGGAGCCTACATTACTCGGAGGTAAAGGCAACAACTCCAGGACATAAGCCATATGAAAGACAGGTTACTCGTTGATTGTGTTCCAATGCTAGTGGTGATTGCAAGTGAAACCTGTATTTGTGTATCACTCAGAAACTCCCAGAGCGTTCAGGGCAAACATTAAGGGCATGGGTCACTAGGGACTTTCTTATGCTGAGTTACACCATGCATTTGCCCCCAATGTGAAAGATACCTAACTGAAAAGAAATTACACCTTAGTGCCTCATGGTGTTAGACAATGCCCCTGGTCATCTACAGAGTGGCAGAGCGACTTTATGGGGACATGAGCTTCATAAGGTGATGTTTTTGCCTCCTAATACCACTTCTCTCCTGCAGCCCTTGGACCAGCAGGTTATTGTGCAAAAACTTCAAAAAAACTGTAGTACACAAAAGCTCTGTTGAAAGGTGCTTTGTAGTAACTTCAGAAACTCAACTTGACTCTTAAGAGAGTTTTGGACGAGGAGAGCACCTTTATATCCCTCAATTGGTAAACCTTATAGGTAAGGCTTGGAGGAGAAGTGGACTAAGAGGACCTTGAACTCTGCTTGGAGATAAACTGTGCAGAAATGTGGTAGACAAAGGGATTTTGAAAAGGGTTTATTCAGGCTTAAACCTCTGAGAGGAGTCTGCCAGTTGAGGAATCCATTGTGGCATTGGGAAGTCCTTGGGTTGAGGTTAGTGGGGATGATGGTTGGGGAAGAGTGGTGGAGGGGACAATGAAGAACTAACAATCTGATGAGCTGCTGTCATACTTCAACAGGCAAGAGGGCCAGACCTGAGGAACTGATTCGGAGGAGGTGAGGAGAAGAGGAGAAATTGAAGAAGTTGCTACTACAAGATTAAGGAAAACTGTGCAATGTGGCTGAAAGTGCAAAACCTTCATGGATGAAAAATCACCCTCACACAGCTATTGCAAGCCATGCTGGTGACTATTACACTGACAATGTTGATGAAACACTTTAGGGAAGTCATAAAGGAAGAGAGGTACAGGCCACTTATGGACAGATATGTATTGCTGCGACAGAAATTCCTGTGACTCTGAAGCTGGTCCTAGTGGCATTAAAGAAGAGGGAAAGTAACCCAGAAAAGGACTTGACACCCAAGTCTTAATGAAGGGATTCCCCTTCTAAACACTAAGACTCTCTCCTCCTTTCCATCCCATCAATCATCACCAGATCTTCAATAAAGGTAAGTGTCACTGTAATTGTGCATGCCTTTTTCAGTTTGTGTGTATTTTAAAATTAATATTTCATGGGTAAATAAAATTTTTTTTTTCATACTTTGGAGGTTGTCTTGCACGGATTAATTAGATTTCTTATTTCTTATGGGGGGAAAAATTCATTCGCCATAACGATAATTTCGATATACAATGAGCTCTCAGGAACGGAATTAATATCGTTATGGCGGGGGTCCACTGTATATATATACATACATATTTATATATATAGAATTATATAATTATTATTTATTCTATATATATATTATTATATATTATATCTATATAATACACATTGGAACCCCCGGTTAACGATATTTTTTCACTCAGAAGTATGTTCAGGTGCCAGTACCGACCGAATTTGTTCCATAGGAATATTGTGAAGTAGATTTGTCCATTTCAGACCCCCCAAACATACACGTTACAAATGGCACTTCATAAATAACACTTACATAATGGTCACATTCGGAGGTATATCGTTATGAGGGGGGGTCCACTGTTTATACAATAAATCACAGTAAACAGGTGATTTCAGAATATGCAAAACAACCACTCTGCAAAGAATAGAGTAATTCCAACGCTTTCGTGACTACTCACATTATCAAGGAACTATGAAAAGTAAAGCATCCAAGGAAGCTAATAATGGGTCCGGCAGCACCCTCACTAATCCAGACCCACAACGGTTTTATATATATATATATATATATTATATATATATATATATATATATATATATATATATATAAAATAGAGAATCTGGATTCTAGGTGGAACCACGAGAGAAAAGGGCAGACAGTTACATAACATGAGTACTGAAGAAAGCATCTAAAGTGAAGCTAGTATACTCTTTAATGAATGGCTTAATCAGTTAAAAGATGGATATTTTCCTTTCAATTTATGAAGGCTGATCTGAGACGGGCTGCACTGGCAGCCTTCGACAAACAATAGACCTGTCGGTATGACCTGACAATTCCCAGAGTGCAACCAGATGCCCCTCCATGAGATGGCCATGGGTGAGTCTAAAGTGGCCATAAGCAGGTGTTCATGCACTGTGTCCCATAACTGGCAGCTATGAAGGAGGCGGCCAGAAGCTTAAGTGTGGCTTGATGTTAAAGAACTTGTTGGTTACAAATGGAAATATAATACAGAATATCTCAAATATTTTTTAATGTCTTTATTGGTACTGTACTCCTTTGATTATTAAAGTACTATTAAAGAAGTTAAATTATAATAAATTTTCGAATATACTCTCAATTATGTTTTAATTTGTGAAATTTCATAGGAAAACTGTAGTATACACTGCTGGAATTTTTTCCTGGTCTGTACCTCTAACACGAGTGCCTATGGATAAAAGGGGACTGATTAGTGTAAAAATCACTTAGAAGTAAATTTCTCTGGAATGCATCATAGTCTCTAATTGGGGAATTATTGTATTTCTCTTTCACTCCGCAACTCTTCTTCACACCCTCTCTGTAGTAGTACGAAAAACTTGCAAGTGAACTATTTCAAGTTTTTTTACTACAAGTGGATGTGACCAAGAACTCGAATTAATCTGACTTCCAAGTATTAATGCAGGCTAGAAGCCATTTCTTATCTTAGCTCATTTACAAAAAAAAAAAAAAAAGTATGATGAGCTAAAATAGTAAGTCACTCTGCACAATGAGTGATAAAGGCTCGATCCTTCCTCTGTTAATTGAGAGACAGACAAATAACTCTCAGAGCCAGACTTCTTTAAGAACCTAAGCCTAAAATTTGTCCCTAAAAGAATGAAGCCAATTGATTTACATGTAAGTTCCAAATTATTGATGAATCTGCAGGAAGCAAATAGTAAAATCAGGAACTAACCCATAATTCTAACTTATGTCAAAATAAATACAGGCTTTATTCATGTTAAATGCATGTAATTTTTACAATTATAACTTTCTACAATGCCTGCATTTAGGCACATAAATTCTGCATGTAAAAGTACATCAGTGATAAATTATGAAGATTTAACCTAAAATCAGAATATAAAAACATAACAATTAAGAAACCCTTCTCAGTCACAGTGTTAAGCAGGATATTTCAAGACATCAACATACAACTAATACCAAGAGAATGGTATCTTCTAAGCTTCGTACATAACTAAGCTTTAAATAGAGTCCTGGGAATTGCCTCAGGAACCTCATGGAGACCCCGCCTATAATCTCCTTCAACTTAGTCATACAGTGGTTTACTGATGCAAAATATTAGCGCTGACGCCATAACGCCTACATTATCATTCTGTATTACTGTACAGAACATATGAACAAAATATACAACTATACTTACTTTCCCTTTTTGGAAGAACTCGACGAATCCACCAAGCGAGGCCATGACTCAATCCCAAACACTGCATCCGAGAGCCACGTTCAACCTTATATATATCCACATAATTATTAAAGGTTATTTTACCTTTCTAGTCTGTATCTTTCATTTTAGTTCGTAAATAGTATAATGATATTCAATACATCTTTTATTGTATTTTACCCTAAGTTTGCAGAATTTATTAAAAATGTTAAAGCCAAGTCGGAGACAGTTACGGGAGACAGGAAGAGAGGGGAAAACAAGCAGATGTCGTCTGCCGTAGCGGAACTATTATCAGAATTTCTCAAAGTTCATCTTTCTCTGAAATCATTGTTGAAATACGCCGCAAAAGCACTTACTCAGATTACAAGAATCTTGTCAAGAATTTTATACATACTACAATAAATTTATTTTCTGGTATTTTGGTTATCAAGGTTACCTACTCTGAGTAGCATTGACTACCACAGGGCAGGTCACTTTTACTACCAGTTTTTTTTTTTTTTTTTTTTTTTTTTTTTTTTCCTCAGTGACTGCCCCTCAAGGAAGGTTCCTTGATGTTGGTGAGGGGCTCTTGATTTAGGGAATTGGATCTGTGCTCCAGTTCCCCGAATTAAGCCTGAATGCCTTCCCCCCCCCCCCCCCCACCAGGCGCTGTATAATTCTCCGGGTTTAGCGCTTCCACCTTGATTATAATAATAATAATCCTCAGTGACTGGTTACTTACACAGTATTAAATATATCCTGGTAATCTTATTCTTATCTCTGGACTTTATCATGCATTATATGAGGATAACCAATAAAATTAATATGAATTATTTACCATTAGAAGTTTAGTTGTCCACTTCAAAAAACAAGTTTAATCAAACTACAGAGTATTTATGATTTATTTTTAATTGGTGCTGCATTCACGAGGAAGTGTTAAACCCATAAAGATCACACAGCGCCTTGAAAATAGGAGAAATTTGGCGAAGTAATCATGTTTGATCTGAGGAAAGGGATGGTAACTTAAACCCTTGGATCAAGAGCCCTTCACCAGCATCAATGAACCCTTGAAGATAATTTCATTCTACTACGAGTCTACAAAGATATCACTGATGTAAAAAAAACAAGTTGCTGCACCGGATATCCCTGAGAGATATCCTGTACAACGCCCTTCCGGTCCCTTTTCACTGAAATGACAAAGTATATGCACCGAGAGTTCTTTTTACTACCGCCCACAGGATGGGTATAGGGTGCATAATAAAGATATTAATATTAAACTAGCTAATCGAGTAGTATGTATATCTCGGTGTATATACAGTTTTCTACGCTCCGTTTTAGTTATTAAAATATCCTTGATTGGTGGTGCACAGGTTGACATGTATTCTTTAATTATGATCCCATATTGAGGTTGATAGGTTTTAAAAATAGTAATAAACCAACAGCCGAACTAAATGCTATTTCTTTCAGTTAACAATTTAACGCTTCGTTTGTTGGTAATAGTAGACGACTCCTCTAGCGGATTTCGGTCATTAATTGTATTTAGAATTTAACAATATTAAGTTGATTTTACAATTATTATTTTCTGGTGCAAACTGTAAAAATAAGTACCGTAATCTAACGAAACTCACCTAGCCCAACCTAAAGTAACCGCCATCGGTAGATGTGCGTCTTGTTTGCATTCGGCCAGATTTATAACATGCCTCCACATGAGCTCAGACGTGCTCTGCAAGTAAGTAAGTTTATTCAGGTATACACAAATACAGTTACATAGAATTATCATACATAGCAGCATGTGTGTAGAGAACCTAGGATAACCCAAAAAAGTCAGACAGAGTGACTTATTTCCATTGGGGGCATAAACGTACTATTTTCACTAATATTTCCGAAAATAAAAATTTTCCCAAGAAATAATGATTTTTAAAATGCAAACTAATGCCCAAGCTCTGCTGAACAGTATTCCAGTTGAAATAACCCAGGTGCATAATATGTATATTACTGTAGAAAGGACCAGCTGGCAAAATTAAATGTGGAAAATTGCATTTATCTGGATCTATCATTATGTACATAACAATAAATGAACATAGATAATTATTATTTATCAGTTAGACAAGTAGGAATTTGGGACACCTAGGTCGCAAAAATGTCCCCCTTCGATACCTACCACTGTCATATCCACAAGTTGCTCTGGACCTATTAATTACCAATGGAATATGTATAACCAGGAATACTGGTAAATATATAAATGTGTGGACTGGACAAGCACCTAAAGTCGGTTCCTGACCAGCCGGGCTGTGGCTCGTACGTTGGTTTGTGTGCAGCCAGCAGTAACAGCCTGGTTGATCAGGCTCTGATCCACCAGGAGGCCTGGTCACAGACCGGGCCGCGGGGGCGTTGACCCCCGGAACTCTCTCCAGGTAAACTCCAGGTATATTAAAAATTAAAGAATAATTATAGATATACACAATTACATAACAGAAAGAAAATATATCTTAATATCACTCACCAATTTGACTGGAGATTAATGTGTATCATACTCAGAAAACCTCACTCTAACTAAATCTATGAAAATAATGCTGGCCAGAATTACACACAAATCTAGAGAGCTTATTTGAGGTTCCTAGAGCTGTCTTGTCCAGTCCTCTGATATCTCAAGTTATGCAGGAATGCACATCCACCAATTTCGCCTCCTATTTGAGAGTTGTCAACACAATTTTAACCTCTAGAGCACGAAAAATTCTTCCCATTACACCAACGTTTGTACAAAATTCAAAACCAAGATGGTGAGTCTCGTCTGTGCAGACGCAGGCTTTCCGTTTTCTATGACATAAATATTATTAAATACAGTATGGCCATCTATTTACATATAAATACTGAATTTCTGGAAAATATATACAGTATTTTCCACACTGCAGCCGGCCGGAGTTCTTTGCTAAACGATTCAAATTACTCCTTCCTTTAGGAGACGATTCCAGCCAGTTCTGGCTTGAGTGGCTGTTCTCCTAGTAGGTCTTACTACGATTTCATCTTCCGGCATCACTTGGTTTGCGTTATCTTCCATATCACTCGTGTCACTTTCCCTCAGATTTTCATTTACATTTGATTGAACACCTAATTCCAAGGGAATCAATTTATTAATTGTGCGTAAACTTTCCTGGCCACAACACAACACTTTGATATTCCTGACAACAACCTTTGCATTTTGGGTACAAAAGTCAATACTTTGCCCAAAAGGGGCCCCAATGTTTTGATGTTGTTCAGTGTCAATTAAAACAATG